GTTTTTTGCAGCCTACCCCAGGAAACTTGTCCCCGGTGGGCCAAGCTGGAGGATTCTGCTCACCAAACTCTCGCCCTCATTGAGAGGTGGTGGGGCACTGGGGAGGTGGAGCTTACTGTGCCATTGACGTTCCAATACGCAGCATAAAGTGAGAAAAGACACGCATACAATATTTGGCCTTGGATGCAAAGTTTCATCCAATTTCTGACAACTAACATTGGACAGAATTTCAGAGAAAGTGCAACCCCGGCGAAAAGAGACGGCATCAGAGTTACCATTGTGGCGGCAGCCCCGCATGGATCCACCCCTTGCATCCACCATGAAGCTAACCAGGAAGCTGAGGAAGAGGAGAGCAGATGCTTTCAGGCTTCAAATTCAACCTAGCATATTGGACCTCTTTGACTGACTTGCAGGGAATTTAGACACTCGGGCTGTACATGAAAGGACACATTGTTACATGCATCAGCTGCCAGTGAGATATGCTAACCATCCATCTCACCGTCATAGGCTTAAGAAAACAGAGTTCAAAAGAGAGACACCCAATGTAACAACAATCGTATGACAGTCAACGTGAGGTTACAGGATGTGGATGAAAAGAATGTCCTCAGAGAAAGTCAGAGATGAAGCAAAAAAAAACACAAACAAAAGGAAATGCAATGGCTGAATCAAGGCGTGGAAGATCACCTGCTGTGGTCCGTATGATCACGGCACGGAGAGGAGCGGCTAAAAACATCGGACGAAATTCCAGCCAAAATGAAACCCAGAGAGAGAAGGAGGAGGATGTCAGAATCAATCAAGCGCCGCTTGAAGTGCCATCAGAGAAGTACAGTGAACCCTCGGCAACCTTGACAAATACATGACTGCCACATTTTTTCTGTAAAACATCAACTTTTCGCCAATCGAAATTAGGGCTTATCTGTGTGTTTTTTTGGCTCTCTCTGTTGCACCCTAAAATGGCAGCCAAACACCCTAACCCTTCCAAGGCGCCATGACAGCCAATGAATAACACTTGTGTCAGGATTGGATCAGACTCCTGACACCAAACAACAGAATTTCTGAGAAGAAAGAGATTATTGTTGTGATGATCCAAACTTCTGCCACCATATTATTATTTTTTTTTTTTAATGGTACCTACCCAGAGTGCAGTGGACTGGAGGATAAAGCTATGTTGTCCAGATTCTCTGTGCCCCAACTCAGCCGGTATGAGTCTCGCTCATTTTCCCTTGAAAGCGATGACATCTGAGAGAAAGCAAAATAACAAAACAAAAAAAAAAAACTGTTTTGTAAAGTGACTCAATCAGAATTGGCCCACAACCCTACGGTTGGAATTAAATGTGCGTGCATTGAATGTACCTGACAGGCCAGCATTTCATCCATCATGCTTTCGTGTTTGTGATAGTAGTTTTGGCGCGTGGGGGTGAAAGACCTTTCAGAACTGCAACACAAATTAAAAAAAAAACAACAAAAAAACGACATAAGAGCAGAGTAAATTCGAGATATGGTATTAGCCAGCCCCATATGTTCGAGTCAGGTCAGCGCTAGGCTTCTATTTTCCAGTGAGCTAGCGATATACCTGCCAGTGTGCGCCCCCTCATTGCTGAGGGTGAGGTAGTTCATGTTATCCAGATACTGCCCTGGCAGCGAATCATCTCCAAGCTCTCTGAGGTCTTCAGCCCTTAAATACTCCCCTCCGTCACCCGTCATGGTGTCATCGCCTTGGCAGTGGTCGAGGGGAAAAAAATTGCTTCATAAATCCGCAACATATCGGAGAAGCGAATGATGAAACACAAAGTAGTTTACACGCCGTAGAAAGACGTCACCCGTCATGGTGTCATCGCCTTGGCAGTGGTAGAGGGGAAAAAAATTGCTTCATAAATCCACAACATATCGGAGAGGCGAATGATGAAGCACAAAGTAGTTTACACGCTGTAGAATGAACAGGAAATCAACGAATCTTGTGACTCACCTTCTTCATCTGAGACATCCAATACTTCCGTCATTGTTTCTGGAACATTCAGCTTGTGTTTCTCCGTCACCGTCTAGTCGTGGAATTTTTATTTATTTATTTTTATTCCAAAATCTCATTCATAACATAAAATCACATCTGCAACTGGATGTTGTGATCTACCGTTGTGGTGGTGACGATCTCCTCTGTGACGACCTTCAGCGTGTCCACAACGGAGATGTAGCCCAGCCGTCGAGCAATACCCAGAGCTGTGTTTCCATTCTGGCCAAGACATAGTAAGATAAAAATAATTACATTGATGAGCTGTGGTGTACTTATGTGCATCTGTGAACGCATACGTGCGTCAACTTACTACGGTGACAGCGTTTGGCTTGGCGCCGTACTGCAACAGTATGTTGATGATGTGCGTGTTGCCCTGCTGGGCAGCCTGGTGAAGAGGGCTGTATCCGTTCTGTGGAAGCGTTGATTTTCAACTTGCCAAACTTTTTATTAATGTTGTGGTGTGTAAATTTTTTTTTTTTTTTTTTTTTTTTTTTAGCTTCCTACTTTGGTCTGCTGGTTGAGGTTGGCGCCATTTCTGGCAAGGATGTCCGCAACAGCAACCTTATCATCCTGTGCTGCCAAATGAAGGGCGGTAAGGCCACACTAAACACAGAAAGACATTTTTGTCATTTTTAAAACACAGAAACGATGATCAATTAGCTGTCACATGGCGCTATTTCCCAGAAAACCGAAAACATAGAAGCAAGTTAGTAGTTGCCGAGGGAGATTATAATGAGATTGCAACTTGAATATAGAACAGGCAAATGAATTTTGAAGGATTTTACAACATGAACCGTCGTCAAGGTTCAAAAGGCGCACACCTGCTAACTTGCAAACTGTTTGTATGCTAAATTCTACCAAGCTAAAAACTTGTGTGGCGCAAGGTTGTTACATTTAACAAAAAGTAACAAAATAACAAAAATTGAAGAAACATTTTTGTTAATGAAATAAAATAAAATGAAAATGGTTTTAAAAAAACAAAACTGAACTTAAAGTCCATCTTATGTTTATAAAACTACTGTAAAAATGGGTCTTTGTCAATTTCACATGCATGAACCTTCGGGGTTTATTGATGTATTTCTTTTGGTATCGCTCTACGTCTGTGCAGAAGAAAGCAGGTCAAACTATGATGACCTTTTCTTGAAATCCTGTACTCGACAAATACTCCATACATTAAAAAAAACAAAAAAAACAAAAAATTAAAACTCATACTAAAACTAATAAAATTTAACATACTTGCTCTACATTAAAACAAACCGAAAATGAACAACAAAAGTCAAAACGAAATAAAAAGTAGCTGTAATGAAAAATCCCAAAGTATTCCAACCCTGGTGTGGAGCCGCAATGTGGAGAACATCGAGTGACGCAGAATGCTGACGTGCTAATAGTCGGCACGCTAAGTCAGTGGTTCCAAACCTTTTGTGAGTCAAGGCGCAACAGTTTGGCATGAATGAACGCCCGCACCGTACCTTAGTAGGGGTGTTGACATGAGCTCCCTTACTCAGGAGCAGCGCAGCCATGTCGGCGTGGCCCTCCTCCGAAGCCAAGTGGAGTGGCGTGACGCCCTGTTTGGTCAGGACGTTGCTTTCGGCGCCGTAGTTCAGGAGCACTGTCGCAATGTCTATTTGGTTCTTTTTGGCCACAATGTGGAGAGGGGTGTAACCGTTCTGCTCCAGAAAGACACACAAGACACAACGACGTAAACACATCGAACATAATGTGCCATTTGTTGTGCGCGCACAAACCTGACAACTCACCGCTACGCTAAGTGTAGAATAGGGGGACATGCAAAGATGATTAATTCTGATCCGGGGATAATTATTATTATTTTTAAATCAAATCAGGAGAAAGAGCTTGTCAGCATGCTATGTTAGCAACTGAACGATAAGAGACAACAACAACTCTGACATTTAACTTCATCTCTCACCATGAGGACATGATGGTTACGCGTTTATTTGCGAAGACAATTGAATAGTGCACACGGAGTCCGAATTGGCTAATGGGAAAATTTGTACTGTGGGGAAGCAAGATTGGATGACTTTTCTAACCCAAGAAATGACTCGACTCGGCCTGCTTGAATTTGAGCAGGAACTTTACTTTTTGCCAGTCACTCGGGACTTGGATGAAACTTGAAGGTTACAACTTGAAACTTCCTTATGACCATGTAACTGAGTCCCACCGTTGACTCTTCCTTAAACGTAATCTCACAAAGAATTTTCAATCGTGCTAAGCAGTGCACCTTGGCAATCGAGTGAGGGGATGCTCCTTTGTCCAGGAGCAGAAGCGCCACCTTCTGGTTATCATAATGTGCTGCAACATGGAGCGGGGTCAGGCCATTCTACGAGAGAAAGTCAAAATATTAACAGTGTGTTTGTATTGGGGTTTTTTTCTTTAAATATTGACATAAAATTACTCCTTTTGTGGAATAGTAGTGCTGGACAATATGGCATTAAAGTAACATTTTTTTATTTCAAATTTTTATCACTAACAGAGAAGGCAAATGACAATGACATTGAACAAAAGTTCCGTTTTTTTGTATTTCTCTCCCTCAAGAATTTCTCCTGATACCAATTCTTTCCACTGAAGTAAATAAATAAGCAACGATTACAGTGTTCCCCCACTATTTACAAAGGAGGGCTTTAGGGAGCAAACCCTACAAGAAGAGTCGAAAACCACAAGTACACACTGATGCCGAATCAAAAAGGTATATAATTGCGCGTTGCTTCCACAAGAGGGCCGCAAAGCATTGCTTTTGTTCCAAAGTAAAACACAAATAGCGCAAATGCGGGGGCTCACTGTAATCCATACACAACAATTGTAAGGATTTCATTCTCTTAAAACGACAACTTCGAATTGTAACTTTACACTTTAGCACGCTGATTCAATGGCACGCATTTCGGCAAGGAGTCTTATTTTCGATGCCAACCTTCCCTGCAGAATCAGGTGGCGCACAACGCTGCAGTAGAAGTTTGGCCACATCTAGGCTTCCGTACTTTGAGGCGACATGAAGGGGAGTAAATCCTTTCTGCGGAAAATATACCAAAGACCATCAATTGATTCCTCGTGTGCACTAAGAAATGTACTGAATGCACATCAGTGGTGGGCTGTGTATTTGGCAGAGGTGAGCATTCCGTCAGTACTGAGGGAAGCTACGTCAGTCCGTCATTGACAGATGCCCGTTTTGCTGATGAATGACAATGAAAGTTAAGAAAAACGATGGACTAGGCACTGACGGATGTGGATTTTCATCCGTTAATGTAATCGTCGTCACTAACCAGGTCGAGTACCGACGGACCTCTCAGTTCGTCACAGCTGCACGGCCGTTTTGCCGGTGACAGACTGAAACACGCCACGCCTGTCTCCTGCGTTTGTTCGCGGGGCTGAATACAGGCAGGGTTGCTTCCATTGACTAGTTATGTAAACGCTTCGCTTTGCACTTCCTGTACAGTCGGTGACGATATGCACCAAAGAGCTGTAATCTGCCAATGACCCAAACAAGAAGAAGAAGAAGAAAAAGAAGAAGCAGAAGAAGAAAAAGTAGAAGAAGAGGAACAAAAAGATGAGCTTTTATAGATTTTAAAGACAGGAGTACGGCTGGGATCAGATTCTACACTTGGTCGTAATGCAGATCTGCATTCTGGTTAAGATAAGCCATTTTCAACTTTCAGTTAAAAGTTGAAACAGCTGTAGGCATCTGCCAGCATGCTTCCACTGTACTGAACAGTTCAGCAGTTTGGCAAATAAGTGGATCTGAAATGTATGTGTGTGCGTAAAGGTCTTTGGGCAGGCACTGTATGATGTAGATACACTGGTATATAGTGCAACCCATTTACCATTTTAATCGCATTGGGTTTTTGGACAATTGTGCGCATTTTTTGGGGGGCGCATGGGGGGATAGACCGGCGGACTGACCAAAGAGGACTGCCAGACTACTGAAATTTACTGACTGAAGCGATGATGGAAGCGCAGTTAAGATAACATGACGGACTGACACACTGCCGATTAGTTTGGTTTGGCTTGGGGAAAAAAAAAAAAAATGATGGACTGACGATGACGGACGAGTGCCCAAGCTGACGGACTGACAACATTTTGAAAATCGCCCACCTCAGGCATTTGGTAGCCGGGCCTTCAGTGATGACTTGCCCAGCGAAATCCAAACTCTAAATACCTTAAGTCATCGATTACAGAAACCAACAATGGCACATAACTGCACCACATTGATCATCCGGAGCACTTTGCCATCAATATTCATCACGTACAACGCCAAAAAAACTCCAACCAATCAAAGATGGTCTCAATCTTTGCAGGTTGCTCTCGAGGTGTTTTGTGAGTTGAACACTTTTGCTCAGATCAACCAAACCAGAGAATGGGAAAATACTGATGATGTTGTCGGGGGTGAATCTGAAATCTGATTGGTTGAACTAAAAAAGCGACCCATTGCTCAGCGTCACTGGATTCTCCACCCACCTTTGTGGCCAGCGAGTGCGAAGCCCCCGCCTCCAGTAGCACTGAGGCAGTCTCCACTTGGCCCTCCTTGGCGGCGATGTGGAGAGGAGTGTAGCCATTGGCCGTGGCCGCATCGGGGTGGGCCATGTGTTGCAGCAGGAGCTGGACAATCTCGGTTTTGCCCAGCCGGGCAGCAATGTGGAGGGGGGTCTGCTCCTCCTGAACACAGCCCCAGAAAACAAAACTCTCATCATAACACTCATATTCGGAATATTCGTGAGCATTTTTACGAAAACGGTCCAACCGGCGCTCACCCGAGCCCTGGTGTCGACCATTGCTCCGTTCCTCAGCAGACAGCGAACCACCTCCACCTGACCGGCCCTGGCCGCCATGTGTAACGAAGTTTCGCCACGCTGCACGGCACGTTTCGTGTCATTACGTCATTGTGGCGGCGCGTTCGTGAAGCCAACGTGACGCCTTTCACTCACAATGTTGCTCCTGTCTGGAGAAGCGCCGTTTTGCAGCAGCAGCAGGACGATGTTAAGGTGACCCATGAAGGCCGCCACATGGATGGGCGTCAAACCGGACTGCACACAAGGGTGGAAAGCAACAGTCAGGCAGTCCACTTGGAAAAAAACGGGCAGTATCATGTCATACGGTTACCTCTGTAACGGCCTGGATTGAGGCGCCGTGTTTGACCAGCAACTCCATGACTTTCACCCGGTTCTTCTTACACGCTATGTGTAGCGGAGTAAAGCCGTTCTGTGAAATGAACGGGCATTTTTTTTTTTTTTTATGCTGCTTATCGTCACGAAGTAGTCATTTCAAATGAGAAAATCGTAAGTAGCGGTGGTACCAAGGCCCGGGCGTTAGGGTTGGCTCTCTTGTCCAAAAGCAGCTTGGTCACTCTGTAGTGGCCGCAGTGGGCTGCCACGTGTAAAGCCGTCAGGTAGTCCAAAGTCACGTCGCCGATGGGCGCCTTGTGCTGCAGAAGGTGTTTGACGCATTCCACGTGATCGCCTTGGGCCGCCATGTGAAGGGGAGACAGGCCGTTCTGGGGAAGAGCACAAAATCAACTTCAGTATACTCCAACTGATGTCCACATTTATCCTGGTGAAGGCTTTTTTCATGTACACTTCTGCTCAGTTGGCTTTTTCCCCTAAGTGCCCTCAAAACTAAATTGAATCAGAGTCCTGTAGGATGGCAAGGAAGGCAACAAATATTTGTCACCGTCGTTCTTTTGCTGTGCTCCCCCTTCAATTTTCCGAGGTTACTCCAACCTGTGCAGCTCCGAACACAACTAATGCTACAACTTTTTTTTTTTGTTGCATTTTTGCTGACTTTGAATTTTTTATTGCAGGGGTGTCAAACTCATTTTTGTCGCTGGTCACTTTGGGGTTAATAACGTCTTCGCTCGAAGGGCCATTACGACAGTGAAATCAAATAAATGTGACATCATCACATCGCATTATGAGTTGGAATTGATGGATGACTCGTTTGGAAGGCAGTCAACGATTTATTTGTTATTTATTGCACACATTTCGATACCATTTTAGCAAGGATCATGGAAGTTCACACACATGATTTACTTTCGCTGGCCGCCAAAAATGACGCAGTCCGGATCTGGCCCCCGGGCCTTGACTTTCACACTTGTGCTTTATTGTAATGTTAAAAGTTTACTTTTATTGCCTTTTGTGATGATTCTCCAAGAATTGTGATTTTTGCGACTGTAAAGAGCCAATTGGTCTCAGCTCCACTGTAAATGTGTCAGAATGATACCTTTGTCCTGGCAAGCAGAGGCGCTCCTCTCTCCAGGAGAAGCTCGACAGCTGTGTCGTGTCCACTCCGGGCGGCGCAGTGCAGCGGCGTGAGGCCATCCTACATAGGAGAGTGCATTTCTAGCAGCGGTTCCATTCTTCGTTTTCCCGCGACCCACTTTTATACGAGTCGGGGGCAATAATGAAAATGTATTGTTCCAAAATACGCGGGGAAACAAAAAGCTGCACAGATATATTTGGAATTTGTGACGGATCACAATTCTTATGAATCCCTCCCTTGGGGGGGATAGACTCCGCCTGCGAATTGAGGCTGCGTGGAAAAGATAATGAAATACTTTAATGGATAACCGGCACCGCCGTGGGATTTAATGCACTTTCCCCACAATAATCATGACTCGTTGCACTCCGCGGACAGATGCGGCTATTGATTGATTGCACTTCCTCAGAGCACTCACCCTCGTTTTCGCGTCTATCTGAGCGCCGCGATCCAGTAGCAGGCAAACCATGTTGGTGTTGCCTCGCTTGGATGCGACGTGAAGGGGTGTGATGCCGTTCTGCAAAGGAGAGGGAACGACGCTGTTACAGCGATGCGAAATCAAGGATGCACCGCAACAACTCAAATCCAACCGATATTAAACACAGCAGCTCATTTTATCAAGCAAGAGCATTCAAAATAGTCATCAAGTTGAGTTTAATTGTGGGTTATGTGTATGGGTTGACCTCGCAGAGTCAAATTTTCCACAATACTTGTGAATTCTCGTTTCTTTATGCCCATTTGAGTACACAGAGGTGATGATGATCTCGTCTCAATTATATTCACAAATGTTTTCATTCATTGTAAGATCAGAGCGTGTTTGAATCGTAACAGGAGGCGCAAGGACAGCTTCATTGTGCCTTCTGCCGACTAGCGCAAGAGCATTTCATGACTTTGCCTGTCACTCTTTGTCACTGGCATCGATAAATGAACAACAAAAGCACATTATTTGCAGTCCACCAATGCGAATTTTCCAAGCGACTGAATGAAAGTGGACACGGGTAAGTGCCCGTGCGGCACACCGGGCGATCTCAACGGAGGTTGGGTGCGGCTGGTTTGTCAGCTCTTACCCTGGCGAGGAAGTCCACGGCTGCCCCTCGGTTCAGGAGGAGCGTAGCCACGTTGACGTTGCCGTAGTGGGCGGCGATATGCAGGGGGGTGAATCCGCTCTGGCGAGCGGGAATGAGAGAACAAAGATGTCAAGAAAAGACCTTTGCGCACAGCATGGAATCAGATGCCGACAGGTAGGAAAAGTGGGACGAAAAAACCAATAAAAAAGCGACACTTCATGCGGACTGGTCTCGCACAAGCACTTCCAAGTCAAAAAAAGGGAAACACAGTGCAGGGAGAAACGATATGAGCAAGCAATCTTGCAATCGTGAAAAAAAAAAAAAATAGACAGGATTAAATTATATTGAAAGAAAACATTGCGATTCTCCTCAGAAATTGCATATATGCTGAGAAATGCTGCAGTGCAGACACGTTCCTTTTGTTGTTGTTCTTTTTTTTTTTTGTGCCGCCTTGCCGCCTTCACTTTTGTCTTGAAGGTGGGAAGTCAAAAGAAAGATGAACGCATCTTTGGCTGCTGCTTGTTTGTGGGTCTTCACTGCGCAGCTCGACATGTGCTTCATGAAATTGTCCGATTACGGCTCATCAAAGATCGGCCCAAATCATCGGCCAAATGGGCCACGTTTGACGATTTTTATTTGGATGTACTCTCACCATTGACAGCAGTTCTACACAAGTAATACTGGTTTCATTATTTATCACACAAAAATGGATACAATTACCATTTATCCTAAAATATATAGAATGAATTGTGTTGATAAGATCATTCTTGGCCCTCGGCCCTGTGAAGCAAATTCCTCGATCGTCTCAGCATTTATACAATCACGGTCGACGGAGTGGAACTTTTTTGGAATGTAAAACCAAAAATACTGAACATATGTTGACTTGACGTCATTCAAGAGTTCGCATTAGTAATGAGGATTAGTGTCGGAAATGTTAGATTACACAGCAGGTTGGAGTAGTTGTGAAATGTCGGCCTTACCTTGCCATTCTGTACGTTTTGGTCCGATTTAACGTGAAAGAGTTGTTTACAAGAGTGCTGAGAATTCAGTGACGAGCGTGATGGCGTCAAAACGTTGCACAGTCACCAAACACAAAGCGCTGCCAAATTAAGCGATGGCGTGTACATGCAAAGTGGCATAGCTGATCGGGAACCTGAAGTACCCTCAGGAGGGCTGCCAAGAGGAACTAAAATCATTTCGGAATGGCGACACATTGCGAGCACACAAAATGCAGTTCGAATGAGAAGGTTCTCCAATGTGCCTCATTGACAACAAGGCCCGAGACTACGGGGGTGTTTTTTTGACACGCCCCTGGAAATGGCCAAAAACCTAAAATGGCTGCTTCAAACCAAAATGGCAGACGTGCTGTGTCTTTTCAGTCAAGGTTTGATCTTTTTTTCTCTCTAGCTAATTTCTTTCTTAATATCTCAAAGGCAAAATGCCAGAAAATTGTTTTGAAAAACCTCAGATGAACTCGTCACCGTGGCCACAATATCTTCTCAATTCGCATCACATTTGGACGTTTGCGTCCTCTTTCAGGAAAGCCCATTTTGGTGTTGCAAAAACATGATTTTGTACCTTTTGATTTGACTTGAAGCAAGGCAAGGTCACAATTTGTTGGCATCAATTATTTTCCAAATCAAAGTTTTTGATGCAGTTTAAGCCTGCATTGCCCTGCTTGTGCTTCCTTACAAGGAGTTCTTTCTCCCTTGTTGCTTTTAACGGAGGCATACTGCCACTGACGTGTTGAGATGAAATCGATCATTTCTTGATGCATTTATCACAAACTTTCCCACCTGAAGCCAAAAACAGCATGAGCACCATCGTCGTGATGTTGTTTACGAGGCTTTGCAATTACTTTTTACTTTTTGTTGACATTTTACACGTTTGGAAGTCATCAGGATGCCTATTGTCTGTTGAATTTCAATTTTGGCAGCCCTCAATTCCATCGACTACAAAGCATGCAACATACCAGTGTTGAACGACAAGATATATTCAGGTTCGCCCCCCCCCAAAAAAGGAATGTTAACGTTTAGTGAGAGTCGCCAATTATTTGCGTTCAACAGCAAAAATTTAAAATGCACCTGGAAAAGATATGAGAAAAAAAAACACAAGACAACAGACGGGCGTGGCCATGCAACCGAGGCTGCCAAGAGCAACAGTGGTGAACTGCAAACTAAAATGATGCTGAGAACTTCATACGTTGCTGTGGAATGTGTCAGAAAAGAAATAACAAAGCCATAAGGCAGTCCAAAAAAAAAGCCCCAAACACCATGTACCTCAGTAGTTCTATTGACCATCATCTGAAGCAGGAGACACGATGGAGGAAAATATGAGTGCTCGCGTGACTTCAGCTCAGTGAGCTTCAAAATGGCGGTAGCGTGTACTTAACGGTGGAACAAATCTCCCCAAACGGTCCCCGCTAACATACCTTGGACTGGACATCGGCATTGTGGTCGTTCTGGAGAAGCAAGGCTGCCGATTTGGTATCATCTTTGCGGGCCGCAATATGCAAGGCGGGCAAGCGGACTTTCCCTTTGGTATCGTTCTCCAACAAGATTGAAACCACCTGGTTGTGGCCCTGCTGAAGGGCAATGGCCAGAGGGGTGAAGCCATCCTGTCGGCCATCGGCGAGAGAAGCGTGCGTGAGCAAAAAAAAACAAGAAAGTGACGCTCCGCTTCGAGGACGGCGGTTCTCCTCACTTCTGTGGCAGTGCTCTGGTTGCCTCCGTTCTCAAGGAGGTATCGCACCACATCCAGGTGATTCTCCTGAGCGGCCATGTAGAGCGGGGTGAAGCCATTCTGCGTGGAAACACATGGAGGGGCTCACAGTCAACCATAGTCCACATCGAAAAGGAGCGACCCGGCCCGGAAGACTCACCTGAGACTGCGTGTTGATGTCGGCACCTTGTTTGACCAGAATCTTCACCACTTCGGCCTGACCGGCAAGAGAGGAGATGTGCAGAGCTGTGTTTCCTTTCTAAATCGGCCAAACAGTCAAGCGCACATCGGTTAGACGGCGAGGCCAATCTGTTTCCCTTTCAAGACTTAGCGGCTGGGTTTTCCACACCTTTGTTGCGGAATTCAAGGCAACGCCCCTATCCAGCAGCTCCTCAACCAGCTCGATGTGGCCCTCCTTGGCTGCAAGGTGCAGCGCATTCAGTCCATTCTGAAACCAACAAAAAAAAAATGGACCATAAGATTGTTATTTTTCTCTCCCCAAGCGTGCGTTTGCATGGAGCCTCAAACACGACGTGGGGAAAATATTTGGTTGGTACTGTTTGAATAGTGTTGTCGGTAAGCAAACGGCCCAGCCGGCAAGAAGTTGCACAGACAATTTGTGGGGATCGATCTGATCATTTCTGGACATTTCCGGGAAATGCCACTCCCATACTTGGAAGTGTGAGGACAATTGAAAAAAGAAAAAAAATATATACATACTTTTATTTCTATACACACATATGTATGTATGTATGTATGTGCGTGTGTGTGTGTATTTATTTTTTTTACCTGATTGCTGGTGTTGATGTCCACTCCCCCTTTCAAGTATTCCAACACCTTGTCGATGTTCCCTGCTCTGGCCGCGCGCAGGAAGCTGGTGTTGCTGTCAGACTGCAACAGAGAGAGACACACACTGGAGATTTCCTCAAAGTAAAATTTAGCCAGCCAGCCAGCCAGCCAGCCTGGTTTTGATGATGCAAATCAAACGAAGCGAGGTTTGATTTTCAAGCGTGTGCTAATATTAGTTTTTGGAAAACCTTTAAAGTGGACCAATCCGAAAATAAACGCCAGCATTTGCGGCAGTTTGCTTTTCCCGTCTCGATTTCAGTCGTGAAAGCGTCACCGCAGTGGACGTTCGGTGTGGCCAACTTCACAATGCAGCAAATGTGCCTGTCCTCGATTTCTCCGTTGTCCAGATCCAGTCCACCAAGTATGGTTAGCACGTCCGCCTCATAGTGCAGACGTGTAGGGTTCGATTCTGGGCTCAAGCCTCCCTGTGTGGAGTTTGCATGTTCTCGCCGTGCCTGCGTGGGTTTTCTCCGGGTACTCCGGTTTCCTCCCACATTCCAAAAACATGCATGGCAGGCTAACGGCACACTCTAAACTGTCCCGACTGCGGATGATTGTTTGTCTCCGTGTGCCCTGCGATTGGCTGGCAACCATTTCAGGGTGTCCCCGCCCCCCACTGCTGCCCGAAGACGGCTGGGATAGGCTCCAGCATGCCCGTGACCCTCGTGAGGATGACGCGGTTCAGATAATGGATGACAGGATGGAGTCCACCACATACGTGTTTGGAAAACATGTTCCTATGTTTCAATTATGACAGACGGCAACGATATCGATATTTTATGTTGGCGCATGAATCTCGGAACGTAGGAGCTTTTAGTTGTTGTGCTTGCCGTTAGAAGTCGCTGGCACGGATAGATGTGGCGTCACCGGTAGAGAGTGAGTGACATCATACAAAGAGAGTCAAGTATTTTGTGGTAAGCCACATCTTTCTGGCAAGCCCCTGAACATCTGGAACGTTTTCAGTAAATCCCTGCGAACCCCAGTGAGCCACTCCTTGTGCTATCGTTTGCAAATAAGCAAGCCAAACAAGTCAGAAGCCATCAGTCAGCCCCTCTAAGTGAGGTCAACGCCTTACAGCCGTCCTGCAATTGGCTGCCAGTCATGCTCTTGCCAGTGGTTCGAACTTCTCACCCTGTAAATCCGCAAGTTGTTGTTTGTGGCGTATGCAAAATCATTTTCAATCAATTGTGATGTCATTCCATACCCAAAAAGATTTAGAGCGGGTGCTGTGTGGTTCCCCACCGCTGTTCTAATTGGAAAAATAACATGTAGTGTGAGCAGACTGTCTTGTCATTGGAGAAATGTTCCCTCCTTTTTCGGTTGTCATAGCAATCGCAGTAGTGGAATCTCTTTTTGAGCTGCTGTGGGCCTGCCCGCAGTGCCACAACAGACAGATTATAAAAACTCTAATCCAGGATTTGGTCAATCCTAGTCCACCGCCACGAAGTACCGCATGCTCGGAAGCTACGAGTGCGGATTTATAACAGTTCGAGAGAAGCTCTCTTTTTACACCACAAAAGACAAGGGGGGGGGGGGGGTTAACTTCAGCAAAACGATAAGCAAGCAGAACAGGAATATTTGACTGGAGTCTTAAAAAGTAAGACTAGGGTTTGCCAAAACTATTCTTCACATGATTGGACCATATGTTTTGATTTGAGTTTTTGCAGTATAGGACATGTATTTTTTTTTTCTTCTTTGGGATGGGGGACGGTGGTGGCTGGGGTCCAACTAAATGCCTTGAGCCATGACTCATACCCCTTTTCCACCCCTCCCAAAAAAAAAACACAAAAAAATGTTGTGTTTCACAAGTTCTTAGGAAGAACGTGTTTTGTTTTCCACCGGCAAAGAGCCGAGTGGGAGCGACGTCATGACGTCATCGTAAAGCGTTCAAAGGTCACTGCTGACGTCGATGTTTACCCACGAGCGCCCGCGCTATTAATAATAATAAGAATGCGCTGTTAGCATCTGCTAGCCAACTTAGCATAACACCGATTACACTTGTATGTCGTATATAACAATCAGGAACTTGCAGTCAGCAAACACTTCTATCTAGCTTAATCATCATAGAGGATCGGAAGGCTGGCCGCGAGTTGGAGATCGCATGCTAGCGGGGCACATCTGCCATCGCTCTTTTGGTGGGACAACAATCGTGCCGGAGTTCACCTCTCAACAGTTTGAGCAAAACTTCCAGGGAGTTATTCCTCGACATCTCCGATGGTCGTGACAGCTGCCGACACCCGCCCCAACCCCTGACATAGTTGGTGCCAGAGTCTGGCCCAACAAATAATTGGGGCCAGCCGAAGCACCAGTTTCAGGCAACGGAGCTCGAGCCAATTTCACTGGTGACAAACGAACAAACTGGTGCTAACCTGGCCACTGGCCCTGAACTCGCACTCGCACAAGCGCGGTGGAAAAGGGCCATCAGAGTGTCAACAGACAGAGGATCGGATCGTCCACGGTGGACCCCGACCACTGGAACCACCACCGCTTCGCCTCGGCTGCCCCTCCACCTATCCTGCTGTCCTTCACAGCATAGAGGAAATACATGGATGGACGCACACATATCGTCATCTAAATTCAGCCTTGTGACACAAAAACACGAGAAAGCTGTTGATTGAATGAGGTGAAAGGTGGTCGCCGAGATTAAAAATAACCAGGAGAAATATGTGCACGTATATTGTGTCATCCAAGCGGCCAGCAGCAAGCCGGGATTAGATAGGAAAACAGATAAGAGCGAGGGCTTTGCCAGCCAAACGGCAAAATAATGCTCGGGTGGGGGTTGAAGGGAGTGTCGCACGAGGGTCAAGGCTGAGCCAGCAGCGGTGAAAATGGAAGCTTTTCACCATTTAGCGTCGCCCATCTGCCTGAGTGATGGATATTTTTGGTCCACGGAATTCTCTTTGTTTATTCTCGACAGGCTTTCTCTTCAATTTCAATTGGTAGCCTTTCTCTTCGAGTACGTGTACGGTAGATTTATTTGTCCAATCGGATTTCAGGCTCTATATCAATATGAGCTGCCCAGGGCCTTCAGAATCAAAAGTGCTTGCCCACTTCAACTGTATTCGCAATGGAACTGTTTGTCAACAAATCAGATTTCAAATTCACCTCGCAGTAATTCCTGACTTTATTCGCTTGGTCAGAGCAAAATAGTTCCGGCCAAATGAGATGAGCAGAACACATTTAGAGACATGTCTACACATCGTCACATTCAAATGTTTAATGCAGGACGAATTCATTTGGTCTGAGAAATACTTGAAAATCAGTTTTCAAGGCGGACATCCCCAGAAAAGATACGACATTTTGACACTTTCGACATGACGACGATGGGATTAAGGGGTTGATTAGTCGGGCCAGTCCCCACTGAAGGCCCAGGTACAAAATGCACAGCCTGCCGCTGCCAACATGCGAGAGCTTTCAGAAGATAGCAAATCGGTACAGCAAACGCCCACTGATTTATTTTTAGGGTTTGCGCCGTGGCAATGAGTTAAGGCACACCATCAAATGGCACGTGGTGTCAACTGACAGCAAGTGAATGAAGAATTCGATCAAGTCACAACAGCCGCAGGGGGTGAAGGTGTCAGAGATCATTTGAGCCACCACTGATTAAACACATGTGACATCGATGTCAGGGTTTTTTTTTTTTTTTTGCACTCACCAGTCCCTCATTTCTAATTTGTTCAAATTTGAAAACAAAGCAAAGACTTTGTGGGCATGGAGATACAGATTGGAATTATAGTGAATAGCTCGACGCGACAAGCAGTCTTTTCTGTCACTCCAGCGCTCCAGATGTGAGTTGGCGGAAGAGAGGCCCAGAGAGCTTTGCTGATGTCACGCTTCTGACTATTAAAAACTCACCCATATTTTTGTGCTTTATCTATCATAGCCTAAGATGCCACAGGTTGGCGCCAATGTCCTGGCTAATAGGAAAATAGTAATTGGTGTCAAGGAAGTATACCCAAGTGATACATATAAAGAGATACGAAGATCTTTGTACGTTGGGGAGGAGCTAAGTTTAGCCTGGCAGAAGTTAAAGAGAGTCCTCATCTCGTGCGCGTGTTTTTGCTGTTGGTTAAACTATTACTGGACCAGCATTTTTGAGGGGGCGGAGTTTGTGGCGAGGCTTACTCGTGACTGCCAGACAAAACTCGTCAGACATTTTTGAGGCAGCTTTTTTTTTCTGAACATAACACTTGAATTTATTGACAACAAAAAATCATGTTGACACACAACAGAACGAACGGGACTGGTGGTCTCTTGTAAACAACAATGGTGATGGTGATGTTGATGTTGATGATGAGGCGTGGATGACAAGACGTGCGATGGGCTAACCACTCTCCAATAAAAGACGGAGGAATGACACAAGGTGGCTCCCGAGTACCTTGCGCTTTCGTTCTGCCTGCTCTCGGGAGCGGCGCCTTCTCTCCTTAGCCTTCTCCAGGGCCTTCAGGTCCGCAGGTGGATCCATCTCAGACCTGGCCTTCTTAATGTGGGCGGCGGCGTGCGCCATGGCTGCCCCCAAACCGCTTCCGCGCTCAGACAAAAGCAAACACACCTGACAACTGTCTCAAGTCCTCCCGCTCGACTGCAAAGGGAAGCCACTTCCACTGGGTGCAGGTTGGGAAAAGTCAGGGAGCGGGAAGAGGAAGGGGCGGGAGCAGGGCTCCACCCTACGGGTTCAGAGCGACACGCAGGGCCCCGAAGACTCTCGGAATCTCTCCCGATTCCATGTGCCAAACGCTTCTCGCGTCGTGCACAAGAGTGAGCGAGAGAGAGAGAGGTGGTGGGATTATGCTCAGTGGGCTGGTGGGGGAGGATGTGAGGAAAACATGCGAGAGGAGGGAGGGGGGAGCGAGCATCTGCAATGGTCTGCACGCGGGAGGAACCATCTTTGCAACCAACAGAGGGGGCTGAATTGCAAATATTGAGAGAGTATTTCCGAAAAGCGGCAGCAGGCCACGCATTTGCAGTTTACCGCCACGATCCCGTGGCAATCAGAATACAATGTGCTACGTACATCATTTGCGCTTCGCAAGCTAATAGACATCAAACAAAATGACAACAAAAAAAATTCACATATATCATATTCATCAGGGATGCTAATTATGAAGTTGATGACAGTATGTGCACATTGTGACAGTTTTGCACTGACCATCCAATCAAAGGATAGGAAAAAAATTGGGACGTTATTGTCGGAGGTGAATATGAAATCTGAAAAAAATGCCTATAAAGTTTAAATATGCGCCGGCACACCTGACTCTGAAGGCCTTAGGCAACATATTAACATGGAAACACAATCTGAACTCTAATTGGACCAAAAAAAAAAAAAAAACCCACTCCCAAATGAATACAAAAACAATCGCACGGGGATGAACGTAATCGAATAGAACAAACTCGAACGCTTGTCCTCATCAGCTAACCGGAGCCCATCCCGTAAGAGTTTTGGCCAGAGAGGCAGAGTACAGCCTGAATCTTTCAGTACAACCCAACAGACATTTTATTTTTTTTTCTCACTGTGGGACGAAAGCCAGAGATAGATGTTCAAACGGAGAATTGAACCCAGATTGCCTGACTGTGGATGCAGTCTTTGTAAACAATGGCGCCACCTTCAGTCTGGAGTTCAGCATTACATTTGAGAAGAGGATTATACCGTGACATGCAAACCACATTCTTGCCATAGCCACTATACTGTAGTATTGAGTGTTTTATTTGATTTTTTTTTATTTTATTTTTTTTACATTCTCAATATAGCAGCTGCAACTGCTTCAGAATTCTGCAGCTCGAGTTCTTCCTGGTTGCTGGAAACTCAGCCACACTGGTCCTAAAATCTTGACTCTCTTTCCTGCGCTTCCTCTGAGTCAAAGGATGGATTTCAAAATCTTACTTTCGCTCGAGGAAGCTGTGAATGGTCACTCTTAAAGCGTTTGGGACATCCGGTGAGATGCAAGTAAAATGCACGGGCACCTTTACAGTTGCGTTTGCCCTTCCCTAAACGTTTAAATGCACTTGTCTCACTGTTTGGCATTTCTTTAATTTTTTTTACTTGCTGTTCTCTGGTTCAGGAAAATTACCAAGGATGTTCACCTCTATACTTTTCAGTGGCTCTTCCAGTCTCTCCGTAACAGTCTGCTGATGACACGCCAAACCAGGGGTGTCAAAGTCCAATGTGCAAGGGCCCCTTTCCAGCGTGTTTTAGATATCTCCGTCCTTGAACACACTTGATTCCAATCATCAACACTGAGACGCCTGATAATGACCCCGATCATTTAAATCGGGTGTGTAAGAGGAGGGGGACATTGATTGACTTTTGGTGCATTCATGGCTCAAATTGTTGTGAATTTTGCCATTCGCCTCTGTGTCAGAGAACAGCAGGTGTGAAATTCCAGCCAACTTTTTGGGGAGTAGGATATATTCAAGACCTTATCGTTGTCGATGAGCCTTCCAGACCTCTGAACACCAAAGGTGCGCCCGCAAGTGGAATCGGCCAAAGTGAAGCGGCATTCTGTTTCTTTGCTCCTAGACTGCGGGACAAGCTTTCTGGACACTTGCTTGTGCATCCAAACCCGGCTCAAAAACTTGAGCGTCCATTGCTGAATTTTCTTAAATCGAAAATACCGCTTGTCTTTTTCACATCTTGCGATGTTAAACTTGGCAAACAAGCTACTTTTTGCTTCCGTTTGTATTTCACCTTCCCACTGCGACTCGTTTTTGCCTCTGGAAAGCACTACAGATACGTCTTGCATCTGAATGGCGCTAGACAAATAAACTTGCCTTTTCTTACCTGGCCTGATTCACCAACCACCATTTCTGTGATCACAGGTGCTCCGGATGGGAAGGCGGGAGGAGGGGGCCGGGTAGTAATTATAATATTAAATAAAATGACAACAATCAGACGCGGAATATCCGAGCCAAGAAGGAAGAATTGCACGTCATTCGAGCACATATACGCGTGCGAGATGTGAAAAAGGGAGAATAGGCTTAAGTGCAGGACAGTCCTGCTGACTGCGTGGATTAGCGGTATTAACACCGTAGGGCTAACTTGCGCACACGTACGCTCATGAACAAGCGGAGGGTTGGGTGTATTCTTAGAGGGGATTAGGTGGCCAAAGGCATTTTCGAGTGACCTAGAAACAGGTTGAGGCAACAAAGAAATCACGGTGAGATATAATCTCTGATGCATTGTTTCAGGTTGTTTTTTTTTTTGAATGAGATCACCCGTGTGAATAACACCCGGCCGGCCCGGTTGGTGCCGGACCGTAACGCAAGATCACTTCAACGACTCAAACGTCGTAAAAACTGTCAGTCAAATGTTCCAGCGGTTCTTGTTTATTGTGGGAACTCTGCGACGACATCGAGACCATATTTCGGCTGTTGAGTTAACACAGAAGCGTCAATCACCCAAGATCTGTGACATCTAAGCAGCCGTTGATAAAACCCGAAGATAATTCATCGGTGGCTCTCAAACTTTTTTACACCAAGTTCCACCGCAAAAAAAAAAATACTTTCCGGTGTTCTCCAAACAACATTTGACTGCATATGTTGTCTCCGCTAAACGTGAAACACGACTGAACTAAGCGAGTGCCTAAAAAGAGTGTTTCCATGCCGCTCTTTCGGTTCGCAACAGCGTGACCGAGATTAGCAGGTGAGATTACGCCACGGCCCGTGATAGCAGCATAGTGATGACATCACAAGTCAAATGGGAGTCAAAGACATGCCTTCAATGAGCCAACGTCAAAGCACAATCCCATCAATCAATCCTAACCCTTGGCCACAGCCCAAACCCTCATCATCATTGAATCTAAACTTCAACCCGAAAACCACAACCCGACTCCGCCAAACCTAACCAACGGCCCCATCGTCGACCATATCCAGGCCCACCCTGCATTTGTAAAACCAAATCAAATCAGAGCAACTGTTAACGTAATTTACAGTGTTAACCGTTAATCAAATCATAATTAGGCCCTAGATTCAAATCAACAGTAAGCGATTAAAACTACAAAATAGCAATTTTTTTTCTCTCCCCAACCCAAAAGCATCCCTTATGTGATGAAATCTGGAACCAGGCAACACAAAGAGGGAGTCCGGACCCACCCTGTCATGCGAGAGGCGCCTCCTCCTACTACTACTGGCCAAGGCACAGAAGAGGTGCGCACAACAATGAAAAGCGCACGCAGAGATCTCGCTAAAATTGCCATTTGAGACGCATTCATTTACCTTCTTGGGTCTTTTTCTCCGCTGTCCCAAACCATTGAGGCGATCGCTGGGGTCCAGTTTGTAATGGTAGTCCTCACTCATTTCTGAGACCCCTATCAAAGGGGGAAAACAAAAAAATGTTGTTTTTTTTTGCCTTGTTTGTTTTCTTTATACCCACACCAAGCCGCACCCTCCCCCCCTGCCCATTCAGCAGAACGTACCCGTCAAGTATCAAAGTCGAGATAGTCTGCGAAGACGGCGTGGACAAAGCGCACAAGCAGAAGGTGGGGGTTGGAGGAGGGAACACAATGGTGTTGCCATGGCAGCAGATGTCACCAGTGTTTATCTCGAAGCCTCGCCCCGGTAGCAAAACAAGCCATACAAATGCATGCTGACCACACTGGAGACAGCACATGCCAGGCTGGAGCTGCAATAAATTACAAATCATGATGGGAAGTAAAATCGTCATTTAAAGGACATTTGTGTGTGTGTGCGTGCGTGCGTGCGTGTATTGTCACACTCTTGCATAATAAAATGGAATAACGGCATTCGATTCAAATAGACCTGATTTCAATGTATTTAATTGTATTCAATTATTTTACATTTTTCAGTATAAGTAATGTACAATCAAATACAATTATTATTACAAGATGGCATCGACCACAACAAAACAATTGTCGTAATTTAGCAGCGACAAAATATACTGTAAAATTATAAACACACCCACGCAAAGGCAGGCGTGCACGCGCAGACACTAAATTGAAGCAATAAAGAAACATAACTTTTAAAAAGCACATTTTTGAAAATTGTACTCTGTAAAATGATTCAAATGAATAAAATGCAGAAAATAAATATTTACATTATTCAAGTTGAAATATAATCACGGAACGAATTGTTGCCCAAAACAGTCCCAAATATGAATATAAATGTGTTTTTCATGATTTGCGATTTTTCTTTTTTTTCTGAAAAGGCAAAATGTCACTGATTTTATGTCACTACAGAAACTGAGTGGCATCTTCTTTTTGTCGGTACAAGGCATACAATCATGGCGACAACGCCTTCGCGCTTTCTAATTGAACCGTTTGACGAGCCCCAATTTGTGATTGTTTGATTTTAATGACGTCTGATTGGCCGAATAAAATGTCGATCAGAAGAACTGACCAATTTTTTTTAAGTTAGATGAGAAAGCCAGTTAACACTGCGCCAAGTTGTCCGCATGGTGTCGCTGTTCAGAAAGATTAGAATTAAGCCAGTCGTTTTTTTCCCCCGTTATTCAAACACATTGCCAACATATTTCAATACACATGCGAAATATAAATATTAAATATGTCGAGAATACGGTTTTGTGTCTGTTGCTAATATTGTCCGGAGGTCAATTCAATTTGTTCTATCCCCCCTTCTTGCAAGAATAAAACTCAACTTATTACAAGATGTAGAAAATATTTATATGAATTTATATAAATAAACCAAAAAAAAAAAAAAAAAGAAGCAACAAATGTTATGGAGGCTTGAGGTTGTTCGTGTGTTCTAAAATTCCACGGCATGGATCGAATGCCCTCATTTGCGTTCAAATCTTGATGGAGCATATATAGCCGTGACCTCGGCCCGTCTTGCAGTCCCTTCTTTGCCACTTGGCCCTCCTCCACACCAGGGCACACATTTTGCTCCCCTCCGCGATTGAGGG